CAAGGTGGGTGTCGAGCTCTTCTCCGAGGAACAAGTGATAGTAAAACAGGAAATGGCTTCATGTTGTGCCGGGGGAGGTTTAGGTTGGATATGCTGAAAACTTGACTCCTTGAAAGGGATGTGAAGGCCTGTCCCAGGCTGCCCAGGGCAGTGGTGGAGTCCCCATCCCTGGAGTGGTTTCCAAGCCATGGAGATGTGGTGCTGCGGGACACGGGTCAGTGGGGACCTGGCAGTGCTGGGTTAACAGTTGGACTTGATAATCTTAAAGGTCTCTTCCAACCAAAATGATTCTGTGAGTCTAGGCAGCAACAGAAGGGACAGAGAAGGCTGTACTCTACTGAATCTCTGGATTCCCATAATCAAGGAGGAGAACATCAGCAAAGAGGAGAGCAGGATGCTTAGTCCAGCAGTGCAGGAGAGCTAGACAGGGGTCACTACACTGCACAGATTATTAGTTTAAATGTTATTTGGACTGCAAAGAAAGAAAACAAGTAATTAATTAATTTTTCTTTCCTTTTTATGCATGGGAGACTTTCAGTTTTGTGCTTGAACCCCATCCATGGGAGCCTGTTAACCCCCTCTCCACGGTCTCCATTGCTTCCCACCAGGCTGGACCACCCTGACCCTTCCCTCTGCTCGCTGGGTGTGCACCACAGCACGAGCAGGAAGCCAGCCTGCTGCCAGAGAGCCTCATGGGGTGCAAGGCTGAGGGAGGTGCAAATAATTTTGGAATCAGCAAACCTAGTATCCAGAATTCACATTGTCTTCCTTCAGACCTTGGCTTCGGGACACGTGTTGTGGTTTTGTAGGTGTTGCCAGTATGGCTTGAATGGTTCTGGTACTTTTGGACAATTATTTTTAAACACAAACTTTCAGCTCCCCTCCACGTGTAGGTTTTGTAGTGTTCTAGGCAGCAGTGTTCAAAGTCACAGGCTTTCCATGATTATTCTGTACGTGCAGAGGCTGATTCTGTGTGTGCCTTGGCTGCCCGGGTGCATTCCCATGTGGAGCTGCAGGCCCTGTTTCCTCCAGGTATTCCCCCAAGAGCACGTGAGGCTGCAAAGAGAAAGAAAATGTCTCTTTCCACTGCACCATCTGACCTCCAATATCTTCTCTGAAGATACGAAGATACTCTGATACCAACAATCATTTAGCTGGGTGATGTAGGACTACCTGATGCTGTTGTCAGTGCCAGAGCTGTGCACAGAATCATAGATCACATTGGTTGGAAAAGACCTTTAGGACTGAGTCCAACCATCAGCCCTACTCTACCAAGCCCACCTCTAAGCCGTATCCCCAGGCACCACATCCACATGGCTTTTAAACACATCCACGATGAGGACTCCACCACCTCCCTTGACAGCATGTTCCAATGTCTGGCAACCCTTCCAGTGAAAAAGTTCTTTGTGATGTCCAGTCTAAACCTCCCTGGAGCAGCTTGAGGCCATTAAGTGTATCTCAATACAGGAAAATGAGTGATCCTTTTATCTGTGAGTAGCTTCAAATTACACATGGAGCACCTGAACTTACAGATGAAGAAAATGGTATTGCGTGTAATCTGGTCCTTCAGGGAAGGCTTCTGCGGTTTCTGGGGAAACCAGTGGTCTGAGAGGGGGATACAACTCAACATTGAGTTGCTGGAGTGGGTCCAGAGAAGGACAATGAAGCTGGTGAGGGATCTGGGGGACATGGCTTGTGAGGAGCAGCTGAGGGACCTGAGGGTGTTTAGCCTGAAGAAGAGGAGGCTGAGGGGAGACCTTCTTGCACTCTACAGCTCTCTGAAAGGAGGTTGGAGTGAGGTGGGGGTTGGTCTCTTCTCCCAAGTAACCAGCAATAGGATAAGAGGCAATGGGCTGAAGTTGTGCCAGGGGAGGTTCAGGTTGGATCTTAGGAAGGATTTCTTTCCTGGCCCAGGCTGCCCAGGGAGGTGGTAGAGTCACCATCCCTGGGGGGGTTCAAGAAAACCGTGTGCATGTGGTGCTTCAGGACATGTTTTAGTGGTCATGTTAGTGTTGGGTTGATGGTTGAACTTGATGACCTTAGAGGTCTTTTCCAACATGGATGATGCTATGATTTTATCACCAATGTCACAATATTGGCTATCATTGTCTAGACAAGCCTCGGTGCAGCAGGGAGGAGCTTCCTTACCAGCTTCTGGCATTTCTCCTGAGGAGAAGAAGCTGAAAGGTTTGGCTGAAGTACAACCTAAGGCCTTACCAGCCAGATGGATAAAACATTGACGCCACAAAGGGATAAGCCATTTTATTTGTCTTTTAACGTTGGCACCACACCCACCACAGATGCAGTGACCCAAGGCCCTGTGTCCCTCGTGTACCCAGCATCTCCTGGAGTCTCCACCTCACACATGGAGTGTGCCCTTCGCTCTGTGGGGGTGCAGCTGGTTGTGTTCATGGGACAGCCTGGTAGCTCTGCTGGGAGGAGTGAGGAGGCTTGGGTCTGCGAAGTGAGGGAAGGGGAGATGTTCTGGTGCTTAAGAAACTCATAACAGAGCTGTGGGGTGTGGATTGTCTTCCCTCTGAGGTAGCCTCACAAGTGTTTGCGTCAAGAACACAACTTTTGTGGCTTGTGCAGTCCTTAGAGTGACTGAGTGGGCTTTATTTTTTTAATTATTTTTTTTTTTAAATCAGCTTAGGACCCAATGGGTTTTGAGTTGTTAACACTCCTCACTAATTTCTTTTTTTTTCTGAAATAAGTAAAACAACAGCTTGGCAGCTGCAATGACAAATGTGAAACCCAAATGCTTTGAGCCATGGGCCAGTGAGCAGAGAGGAACTGCTTTACATGGCTTTTAACCCATTTGATATTTTCGGTATAAATAATTAGATGTTAGGAATAAAAGCTGTCTGTTTAATTCATGCCACTGAAAGCCCTGTGTGCTGTTAATAGGCTTAGTAGTAGGCAACACCTCTTTGAAATATAATTCTTTTATGCATTTTAATAGAGTTCATGGTACACATACTGTGATAAGCAGACAGCAACTAATATTTCCTGCAGGCAGAATGCACTAATTAAAATTAATTGATTAAAAAAAGAAATCATTTGCACTAAAATTTCCAAACTGTTTTTTATTCTTGACAAAACACCCATGTTGTGATGTGGAGATGCAAAGAGCCACATGGTCGGGCTGCTGCCTGACTGCCCGTGGGCTTTGCTGCTGAGGTCAGGAGCACCAGCCCAGCCAGGCTGCCTTGAGGATGGACTTTGTGGTATCAGAATGAATCTAATTAATACAAACTGCTTTGGGGGCTTGGGGGTAATAGAGAGGATGTTCTTCAGGGGCTGTTCAGAAGTCCACCTGCATTTAGAGTGACTCAGCCCTAGTCTAGTGTCCCAGCCTGGCTGCTGGGGGTGAGGTTAGTCCCTTAGGGTCAAGATGGGGTTTCCTGACTGTCTCTTCTCTCCACAGGGCCTTCTGTTCTCCACCCCTGAATGTCTGAAGCAACCCCAAGACTTAGTGAAACTCTACCTGCATGAGTCAAACCGGGTGTACCGGGATAAGATGGTTGAAAAAAAGGATTATGGTACCTTTGATAAAATCCAGCTGGAGATGGTGAAGAAATTCTATGATGTAAGTCTTGAGGTTCATAATTCTGATAATAATGTGCATGCTTACCAGAAAAAAGTTCCTTGGGAAAGCAAAGTATGACCCAAGGTCTGCACATCCCTCTCTTGCCTGGAGGGCAACCCTTTTGATAGGAGCCCAGGAGGAAAATCTGTGTCATCCATATCCTGGGCTGCCAGTGTTGTGATACAGCTACACGATGTCCCATGAGGGCATCGGGGAAAGGACGTCTGAACTCTGTGAATTAATTAAATTCCTTTATTTAAGTGCTTTGAGCCACATGTGGCAAAAGCCAGAGACAGGTCAGATCCCCAGTCTTCATGGGAGCAAAGTGCAATGCAGGCAGAAATCCCTGCTGCTTTCCCTTTCCCCAAAATATCTTTCAAATGAGAGCTCTGGATCTGCTCTCCCTCAGGCCTGGCATCACCCAGCAGTGCCACTGACCTAGTCACAGCAGTAGCCCTGAGGTGCTGAGCAGTGCAGACAACATCTTCTCCGCCAGGTGTTACCATTGCCCATGCAACAGCCCAATGCTCTGGCTGTTGCTGCGGGGGCTTTTCCCTTCATTCTCTTACCATAATGAACTGGGGGTCTGTGATGTGCAAAAAGTTGTCAGAGCAAAAGAAGTTAGTACTGGGGCTTTTCCCTTCCCTACTTCCACTCATAGAATCATTAAGGTTGGAAAAGACCTCTAAGATCTTCAAGTCCAACCATCAACTCAGCACTACCTTGACAACTAAACCATGTCCTGAACTACCACACCCACACATTTTTTTGAACCTCTCCAGGGATGGTGACTCTCCCACCTCCCTGGGCAGCCTGGGCCAATGCCTCACCACTCCGTCAGGAAAGAAATTCTTCCTGATATCTAACCTAAACCTTCCCTGGAGCAACTTAAGCCCATTTACTCTCATCCTATCACTGGTTACTTGGGAGACCAACCCCCACCTCACTCCAGCCTCCTTTCAGGGAGTTGTCAAGAGCAGGAAGGTCTCCCCTCAGCCATCTCTTCTCCAAACTAAACAATCCCCCATCCCTCAGTGGCTCCTCATTAGACATATTTATCTTGTCCCTCTTCACTCTTTTCCAGTGTGCATATGCAACTATACGGGCATAAAATGCATTTTCTGGAACACCAGACTGGCCTGGGGAGGTGACATGGAGCTGCAGGGTTTCTTCTGTACTTGGAATATTTTTTTTTTTTTTTCTTATTTTGTCAGGACATTGAGGAAACTTTGGAGCAGACCAAGAGAATGAATGTCTATTGCCACTTTGCTAAAGGCATTGGTGAGCCCAGCTACAGGCCAGTTCAAACCTGGCAGGAGTTGAACCAGATCCTTGTGGAAGCCTTGGATAACTACAATGAAGTCAATGCTGCCATGAACCTGGTCCTATTTGAGGATGCCATGTGCCACGTGTAAGGGGATTTTCTGGCTTCACGGTCTCAACATAGCATTTATCTGCACCAGTTGCTTCCATGGAGTTCCCTGGGGGATGTAGGTATCCAGATTTGTAGCAGATGGAGGTGTGCAGAAGCTTCACCCGCCCACGTGGCGTATCCAGCACAAATTCTGCACTGCTTCTCTCCCTGGTGCTTGGAGGGTGCTTTTGAAACCATGCAGGTGCCTGGGGCTGTCAGATGGAGGTTCTGCACACTGGTGGTTATTTTAAGGTCTGGTTGCTGTTATGATATCTTTGGCTCTTGATGCTCCACATGTGGCACGAACATTTATTATATGTGACAATGTTCAAGTGCTTTCTTGTCTTCACTCTGACAGCCAGCTACAGAGGTAGTTATACTGGGATTTCCCAAAGTACTTTCACAACTGGTTTTGGGTTGTGTTCACACATGTTCTTAGTGGGATTTTCCAGTGCGTATAAAGCCAGATTATGTTCACTCAGGCTGCCGGTTTAAATGGATGGAGGCATTTAAACTGCTTTGATCCTTTGAAAGTTCTGCTTCCATTTAGATACCTGGAGGTGCAGACAGATTCCCTTTGGAAATTGGACATGTGGGACTTTATGAAAACAGCAAGGCTCTGGTTGATCATTATGAAGCTATTTACATATTTGTGGGGAACCTCCAGCTTTCAAATACCATTTAAACACTTGTTGGGTATTCCAGTAGAGACAAACTCATTTCTGGGTGCTTGAAATATAGATCTGGCCTTAGATCACCTCAAAAGATGGACCTGCCCTGTAAATCATAGTTTGAACTGATTTTTTGTGAAAACCTTGTATGAGGAGGTGCCACTTTGTGACTCTAAGCTAAGAAGCTCCCCTTCTAAGGACTCTAAGCTAGGACTCCTGAGAAGAAAGCCCAGCTCCTGCTCCACACCAGAGTGGGTGATTTCAGTTCTTGCTGGGCCTGGCAACCCAATGCAGTTACTCCCATCAAATTAAAAAACCCCACATATATAAAGTGCTACTCGTTTTAACTCCCTGTTTAACCAGTTCTGCACTGAGAACTCAGCAGCCTGTCCCTGTTCAGGTGTGGTGTGCTGGTGGTGCTGGGCATGGTTTCCCTGTGTCAGCCTGTCAAATGCAACCTGATGTCCAGAAGTGTTCCTGCTTGCATTGCTTGCAGGAAGGGGACAGTAATATTAATCTTGAACTCCTTTTGTCCTGTACATAAACTGGGGTTTGTGACAAAACTTGGCACTTGTCCTTCAGCTTGAATTTGCTGAAAATTTTCAGTTGAGGGGAAAAAAAGAAAAAAAAAGGAAAAGAAAAAAGTTAGGGGTTTAATTTATGCAAAGAAGTGGGAGATGCCCATTGGTCATCTCCTAATCCAGGATTTATTGTGGACATTCACAAAACATGAAGCCCTGGAGAGCACAGTCAGGGCAGAGACCATGTTGTCATTTTCAGGGAGAGCTGGCCTGGAGAATCTGAAGTGGGAGCACCAAAGCCCTCCACACAAACTGGATTGCTTTTCTAGTGTGACTTCACAATCTGTGGGAGTCTGTGCATAGGTCATAAAATACTTGAGTTGTAGTAAAGTAATACAGTATTTCTCACAATCAGATTTGAAAAATTAACTGGGTAGTCAAGGAAAATAGGGCTGAATAAAGGCGACGCTGTGAAGAAAGGAATGATGCTTGTATTTAAGACACAGGACTGTGGGGTTTCCAGAGGGAGGATCCTCTAAACCTCCCCTCATTTGGGGCTTTCACGTTTGGGGACATCAGCAATTGCTAGAAGACAATAAATTGGAGGCAGACAGAGTCCACCATGTGACTCTCGGACAGGACCAGTGAACAGACCTGAAAAATAACATCAGGTTCATTTAAAGAGCAAGAAAATCTCACTCTTAAGTTATGGTGGCTTGGATAAATGAGTAACACAAACTCTTTTTCCAGAGAGGTTTTTTGCCATTGTAGACACATACAAATATGCTTTAATGCATAGCAGGACTCTTCACCTGAATGTGAACCCCAAATGCTTTGTGAAGAGAAACCTTTACTGGGGAGGGGCATCAGAGCCTCCAGTTTTGTTCAGTTTTTCCATGTCAATGTGATGTGTTTTTCCCTTGTCCTCCCTGAAAAGATGTCCAAGCCTTCACCTTAAAATAGTTAAAATAATCCAGCAGGGCTTGGAAGCTGGAAAAAAAAATATGGACATGGTCTGAATTGCCATCAAACTATATTTTTCATCAGTTACGTCCTCTGTAGAGGTCTCAGCAGAGATGGGGATTGATTGCTGACATGTCTCTGAGGTTGACATTTTTCATTCCATTCAGAATACAATTTCTTAGTGAATAAAATATGTATTGAAACGCACCAGGCAGAGAAAAAGAAAAAAATACTCTTTATTAATGAGAGATTTTGTATGCTTCAATTTAGTTGCCGCATCAACCGTATCCTGGAGGCCCCCAGAGGAAACGCTCTCCTGGTTGGCGTGGGTGGCAGTGGCAAGCAGAGCCTGACCAGACTGGCAGCCTTCATCAGCTCTCTGGAGGTTTTCCAGATCACTTTGAGGAAAGGGTATGGGATCCCTGACCTGAAGGTAGGTGCCTTTTTTTTTTTTTTGACTGAGTTGGAGAGGAAGGAAATAAAACGCAGAACTTGCCCTGAGAACTTTGTCTTGTTGCACTCTGAGTTATGCTGTTGTGAAGATACTGAAGAGGTCCTGACACGACATGGGACAAGGAGCAATGCTTCTTGAAACACCTTCCTGAGGTGTGTCTGCACAGGGGTGCAAACAGACCTGGTGTCCTCTGCCTGGCCAGGCCTGAGAGCATTCCAGCCCAAGGCTTAGTGTCAGCGCTGGCCTGTGCTAATTATTTCTAATTAAACCAAGATGTGGTAATTAGCTAGTCTGTGAGTGCCTGTTGTGGAGTGATTTGGAGGTGGGAAAGGAGCAGCAGAGAGTAGGAGGAGAGTTCCCAAATTGTATCACATTTCTCATGTGGTATTTTGTGTAAGAGAGGGACTGAGTGGATGATGGATGGTTCCCTATAGACAACAAGTGCTTGTGCTTCTCTCTGTGCACAGCCAAGTGAGCTTAGGAATTATAAATTAGCATTTTAGAACATCACGGAAGTGGTTCAGAAGTATTTTAGCTGCTGGCAAAATGATTGTCATTTAAAGTGTCGTAAAACTCACAATCGCAGTAACCCTGGGAGAGGTAAAGGCCACTGAGCCTCAGGTTCCTTCCCCACCAGTGGCACCACCTGATGACCTGTGGTTCTGGACAAGCTGTTTTCATCGTGTCACACAAGCCTGTCCCACATCCGTTGGGTGTTTTCAGCTCTCCTCTGTGTTTTTCAGCCCCACTCGTGGGTTTTTCTAGCTCCTACCTGCCTATTTACTGAGGGAGCCTGTGCTTCCATCTAGGAATAGAGCTCGATATCAGTATAAATAAACTTGTTTTCAAAATAGCTTGTCTGTGGAGGAGGAAGATAATTTGATGTTCCCTTCACTCTATTAATTTTCAAAGAACTTATGAAATATGGATTCATTTTTTTCCTCAGATAAGAAGAGCAGAATGGTGATAGATTACCCTGCCTGCCATTGGCCCCTCCCGCTATTTTAATCGATCTAATCCAAATTTCCAGTGATGAAAGTAGCAAATGATTCTTTTGGAAGAAGTGTGTGTGTTTAAGTTTCTGAAACATTGTCCAGTGCATTCCTCCGAGGTCCCCTGCGTGCCCTGTAACCTGCGTGGAGGGACAGGAAGGACAGGATGGAGTTTGAGCTGGATGATGGTGTTTTTCTTATCTCATCAACCACCTGAATTTCAAAAAGATGGTGTCTTTCAGTAGGAGGACACTGTCCCCTTTGAAATGAAGCAGCTTTTCTACATGAGCAGGTTCCCTGTCAGCATCGCTGCACTGAATGGGAGACTGAAGGGCGAGTCCCTGCTCGGACTCTGGAAAACTGAAAAACACAACCGAAAAAAAAAAAAAGTCCATGTTTGCACAAGGTGTCCTCCCTTCTCACAAATGAAATAAATGTGTTGGAGCACTGTAGAAAAAAAATAATATTCCTGTATACTTGTGAAACCAGAGAAATCTACAGCATGGGGATAGCAAGGACCAGCACTTCCAGTCAGTGCTGTCTCTCCCAGTCCCTGTGGTGCTTCAGCCTCCTTGTGTATGTGACTTACTGTACCCACAGCCTGGGGCAGAGGGAGGCTCTATGAACTCCCCTTGCAGTCTCCACAACCAGGGATTGCATTGATGTCTTCAGCCCCATCCATTGGCCTCTAAGTGTTTCAGCCACAGGCGTTTCCCTCTGCCTAGTGCTGCTGGCCAGGGCTTTCCTCTGATTTTTGTGTTATCCAGACCTGGACATAAAGTCAAGTCTTTCTTGGTAATGTCTTACAATGATGATAGCAACAGAGTTCCCCATGTCTCCTGGAAGGCTCAGCCGTGAAGGTGGAGAGTGGCCAAAATGCAGTTTAGTGCTAATTAATTGTAATTGCTTTGTTCTTGGATAATGGGAAGATTCTGAAATATCCCACTTGTAGGAGTGGTACCCAGCCCTTGCTTTGCAGACTGTAGGTGCAAGCCCTAAGCCTGCTTGCTTTTCAACCTCCAGGCAGACCTGGCAAACCTGTACCTCAAAGCTGGCGTGAAGAATGTGGGCACCGTGTTCCTGATGACTGATGCCCAAGTGGCGGACGAGCAGTTCCTGGTGCTGGTGAATGACTTCTTAGCATCAGGTATGTCTCTCGTTGCTTATATCACTCCTCTCCCACTTTTCAGTGTAGTTTTGCTGATGTTCTTTATCTGTATGGGCAATATATGCAGTAAACTGGAAGAGACGTGGGTTAAGCTCTAGAGTAATTGCAGCAATTTGGTCTCTTTGATGAGGATGCACTCCATCATCTGGTAGAATTTTTTCTTTCTTGTATATCTTGTACCCATTTTTTTTCCATATTTCATAATACACTGTGTATGGTTATTAAGTGTGGTGTCTGTTGTGAGGTGGTAGCTGAGGACAAGCCAAGGGAATGTCTTGGCAAATGAGGAGTGATCCCACACATACGTGCTCTAGCTGCCTATTAAAATAAGGTTGTTCCTGGCAAGAATATTTGTCTGGAGTATCTGCAAGTTGTTGGATGATGCAAAGCCACCAGATGACCATGTTTGTGTGGGTCAGCTAGCTGCTTGTCCCATACCAGCCTTTTCCTTTTGTTTTGCTAGATGCATTTAAGGTTTTGAGTTGTTGTTGGCTGAAACAACTGCAGACTAGACCATCTACAGATGCTGTTTTCCTGCAGAACACAACACGTGGATGTGTGGATGAGCACTGAGCGTGACCTCACTAGTAACCAAGAGTGGGTGTATTCCCCAGACTCCCTGGTAAATCCTCACTACTCACTGCGTGCCACTTGCTGCCTTATTTATACATCAGGAGTGGTAAGATACCAGCTGGTTCAGGTGACCTCCATGGATGGTGAGGGGTGGAGAGTTGACAGCATGGTGAAGCTTGTGAGTAGCTCCAGAGCTGACATACGTGGCTATAAATTGGCCAGGGGGTTTCAGCAGCAAACAAACCCTGCCCGTGATGAATTTGTAACCATGAGTAAGGACAGGAGTTGTTGTGGAAGGCACAATGTTGCAGATGACACAAACATCTCATCATCCAAAGTGAAGCTCTGCAGTGTCCTGCAGCAAGGGGCAGGCTGAGCAGCCTGGTGGTCTTAGGGTGGCTTTGAAGGGTGTTGTGTTTTCTTGGGGCTGCTGTGTGGCAAAGTGGGGACAGGTCAGAGGTTCTCACTCAAGGTCCAATGTCACTCAACAGGGCTATGCAGAGCCTGTGACTTCCCATGATGTGAGCTAGTGCTGCCAAGAAGGTGCTGACTGATGGATCTAGGTGCTCTCTGCTACCTCCATGCTTGTCTTCCTTACTTCTTTCACTTCTTATCATCACCTGAGAAGATAGAACACAATACATATTTTAATCTTTCTTATAAATGAGCCAATTTCTGATGAATGTATTTTCCTAAGTGATCAGTGCTCGTACTGACAGTACCTCACTCAATAAGGATGATTGCAATAGAATCAGAAGCCAGAAAGGAAGTGAATAGGCGATAAATAAAGGAACTACCAAAAAAAAAAAAATTTGGTGGCGTAAATTTTTGGCAATCAGTTGCCTAACTATTAACTTTTAAAAGTTTTTTGAAAGATTTCTAACTTTTATAACATTTCCGTCACCCGGGAGTTATTTGATCACTGCTGGAAATGTCATTGAACAGCTGTAGAAACTGCACATGTAACTAATTCGTTTGCAAAGCTAAAATGATTTAATTATAGTGTATAACAGATTAGATATTTGGTTTTTTGGTTTTCTAATTAGCACTGTAGATCTGAAAAAAAAGAAAAAAAGGATGTTCTGTACCTTGACTCTATTCCATGTTGTGTTTACTTTGTGTTTTTATTAAGAAAGTTTGCTCTCACAAGTGTTTATTTTTAAGCAGAACGACCTTCTGTGTCATTTTTCTGCTGCTGGGGCATGTGGGCATCTGGCACAAGGATTTTTCTTGAGGAGGGGCTTCCCCAAGCCCCTGAAGAGAGAGACAGCTACTTCATTTTGCTCTAAGACTGCAACAAAATCCTAGCAAACCAGAAGGTGCCCTCTTCTTGTAGGTGAAATCCCTGATCTCTTCTCTGACGATGAAGTTGAAGACATCATCAACAGCGTGAGGAGTGAGGTTAAAGGCCAGGGGCTGGTGGACTCCAGGGAGACTTGCTGGAAGTTTTTTATAGAGCGTGTTCGACGACAGCTGAAGGTGAGACAGACTGGCAGAGTTCGTGTCCTCACCATTGACCTTGGTGCAGGGGAACAGGGTGGAGATGCTTTGGACTGCCTTGTAGGGAGGTCAGAGTGCAGCTTGAAAGGCTTTTCTGCCTGTTCATGATGTGAACTGTGATTCTCTCAGCAAGCAATACTAACACATAGGCAATGCTGTCTGTTGGCATCTCTTCCTGGGCTTTATAAAACAGTATGGGAGCTGAAAATGTTCTTTCAAGAGTTGAGCATGAACAACCTTTCCATTTTCAAAGCCATGCACAGGGGCTTAACTGGGGTGCATCAGGACTAGGTCTTACTTCTTGGAAAAGTTGCACAGGAGATCTTCATGTTGTTGATAATCCACAACCAGAAGAATTAAAATAAAAAGCATTGTGATAAAAACAGCGTGCTGGGAACTGAGTGGAACACAACGTGCTTACAAGGATTTCTTTCATTGCAACCCATACTCCAGCACAGAAAGGCCTTATAAATGTGTCCTAAAATCCCAAAGGACTTCCCAAGTGTGCCCAGCATGTGGAGAAAGTAGAGTGCAAGAAGGAGTTAGACTCTTCTAGAAGGTATTTTCCCATCTCCAAGGCTGCAGAGTGCTACAGTCCCAGAGCAGGAAGGTAGGGTGGGCAATGAGTGAAGACCTGATCTTTGCTTAATGTCAGCACGTCCTCCTTACTCACTGCTTGGTTTGTGTTGGTGGGACACATTCACTGGGGTAAGGTGGCCTGTTCACTTTTTGATATGGGTAGGTAAATGTTTAGGATGGGGAATAGCTGGAGAGTTGATTTTTTAGGGAAAATGTAGTGACCACGCCATAGTATAGATGCCCAAGGAGAAGGAATCCAGTCCTCCTCTCCCGCTCCCACTGCAAAGGGGAATTCCTGATGAGCACCGATGCTGTTTTGTAGCTCTTCTTGCACCTTGGTTGTCTTCTGCCTGGTGTCACTCCTTAGTAGCTATTGAGGTACACAGGAAGGGCAGGGTGAACATGCTCAATGTGAGGCTGATCACTTTTCCTTGTCTGCCCTTCTCCTTAACCACGTGCAAGAGCAGATGGATGGGGTCAGCCAGGAAGAGCTGTTTATTCTCCCTAGCATTTTATGATGGACTCATGTGCTGTCCAGAAAGCTGATCAAGCCATTGCTGGTCCGGGACATGCTGGACCTCTGGGAGCAGCACAGCAGTGGGGCTTGCCCCAGCAGAGCATGAGCATCAAAACACCTTCTGCCTCAGGGTTTTGAGAGAGAGTAGTGTAGGTGCAGAAATGGGCTTTTGTGCATGGATACCTTCCTGGCCCTGAGAAAACAATACAGAGGTTCCCTAGGCTTATGCTTGAAGGTGTAGAAAGGCTTTCTACATGTCTGTCCCTTGTGTGTGAGCATGCAGTGGCCATGTCTGAGGAGCAGAAGCTCTAAGCTCAGCTGCCTCATCTGAAACAACAACAAAAGTTGTTTTGTTACAGGCTGGCAGATCTTAGCTCATGGTGGAGGTGGTGACACTTTATGGAGATGTCTGAGCTGACAGAGCCTGCCCAGTGGCACTTGCAGGCTGTGCAGGCACCAGTCAGGGCTAACAAGTGGGAGAGAGACGATGTGTTGGGTGAGGGATGCTGCTTCCCTAACTGGCCCTTGCTCAGATATTGCTGCTTCACTGTGTGGTGGCAGCTTGCCTGTGTCCTTCTTTGCGCCTGATGAGCACAGCTCATAAATGCAACTCAGAAACTTTTAGCAGCTGTTGGGCTGAAAGAAAAGCCTGAAAGGCAAAGGACCTACTGTGCAAAAATGTGATGAGCAGGGAAAATGCCTTCAAAACTGCTTTTATTTCCAGTCTGCTTTGTGTGGAGATTGCTCTATTTTTAAAAAATTTCTTATTCTGATAAAAGCAGATTTTGAGTTTGAGCCACCTCAACCCTTTTCAATTCTGGCTTTCGGGGAAAAAAATCCAGGCAGGCCTGTGGTCCTGCCAGGAGAATTTAGATCCATTCAGTTTAATTCCTGGTTGCACCACTTGGATCTAGATGCCAGTTCCCTGCCAGGCAGAGCTTTGTGTCACTGCTAAAGCAGGGAAGAGTGGTTACATTAAACCTCGGCTGCAGCCTTGAAAGTGTGCCAGGCTTCTGCTTTTGACCACAGCAATGCTTGACCCCAGTGCTTGCTGTTACTGCTGAGATAAATTGTGTTTACTGCTGGATTATGCCTTTACCAGGCCAGGCTTGCTGGCCTGAAGAGCAAGGACTCAAGGGCAGAAGTTGTTGTGCCCTTAGCTAGTGGTGTGAGATCTTCCATTGGAAGTGGTTGGTGGAGTCTGGGCTGGGCTGCACGGCTAGAGCCTGGTGCCTGCTCCTGGCTGTGTCTCCTCACCTTCTCCTTCCCTGGTCCCCACAGGTTGCGCTGTGTTTTTCACCGGTCGGTACCAAGCTGCGCGTCCGCAGCAGGAGATTCCCCGCCATCATCGGCTGTGTGGCCATAGACTGGTTCCAGGAGTGGCCACGGGAGGCCCTCGAGTCCGTCAGCCTCCGATTTCTGCGAGAAACAGAGATCCTGGAGGTGAGCACCTCACCCACCATGCTGAGTCATGCCTGGGTTTGAGTTCCCCTGCTTGGGTTTTTAGTTCCCCTGCTTGGGCGTGAGTTCCTCTGCTTGGGTTGGAGTTCCTCCATTTGGGTTTGCGTTCCCCTGCTTGAGTTTGAGTTCCCCTATGTGGATCTGAGCGCCTCTATACAGTGCAGACACTGGCTACCCCTGACCACACAGTGCTGGTGGCAGCCAGGTGTGACCTCATCCCTGCCATGCAAGCAACACCTCACACGATGAGGACAGCATTGCAGGGAGGGTTTGCTCACCTTTATTGCCCTCCAGCACTTATCCAGGACATCTGGGTGACTGTCTGAAGAGGGATTGCTGGTACTGCTGCTGTGCATTGAACTTGAATCATGCTTGGAATGTGGTCCAGGTTTCTCAGAGAGGGCTATGGACTTAGCAGAAGTCTGGCTGTGGGCACCATGCTCACGTGTGTTTGTACGTTGAGTAGTCAGTGAAATGGCTGCTTTGAAGAGAGGCAGCTTACAAATCAGTGCAGAAAATAACCAAATGCTCACGATTACTGTGGGGACCGTCCGCTCGTCTCTCCACATGCCTCTGAGCCTCCCTAAGGGTCAAGGGCAAAAAAGTCAAGTTCTCATCGATGACAACCAGCTACTAGACTAAAAGGGATTCAGTTCTGTTTGTTTAGCTTTTCTGGACAGGGTTTTGGAAGAATAAAGTCTATAATGCTTCTTTTTGTGAGTGTGCGCTTTCCCCATTTGTACAGAAGAAAAGCTCAATTTTATACTGAAAAGGTTGTTATTTTGTAGAGCTGAATGCTAGAAAAATTGCTTGGAATAAGATAAAATATGAGATAAAAAGATATAAAAAGAGGTATAAAGTACATGGGTAGACAAAGTTATTTTAGAGATAACAAATGAAAAGGGATCAGCTTAGTTGTTACATCCTGGACTTTGCTGCAGCAGAACAAAAAGTTAATAAATTCCTTTATATATGGCACAGGTCTGCGTTATATATAGTTGTTCTGTTTAGAATAGTTTCTCCTGTCTTCTCATCTTCCTTTTAGGATTCAGTGAAAGATTCAATAAGCAAATTCATGGCCCATGTCCACACAAGTGTCAACGAGATATCCCGATTGTATCTGAGCAATGAGCGACGATACAACTACACCACTCCGAAGTCATTCCTGGAGCAAATCAAACTCTATCAGAATTTGCTGTTGAAAAAGGGCAAGGATTTAAAAGCAAAGGTGGAGCGGCTGGCGAATGGCCTGGAGAAGCTCAACAGCACGTCTGCACAGGTGGGCAAACCCTTTTGGGTTAAAAGCTGATGATTTTCCTTGTTTCTCAGTTAGACACATCCCTGCATCCTGGTTTGAAGGAGAACTTTGCAGGCTGAAACTGGATATGGTGTAAAATTTGTGCTAGATCCTGGCTCTAGTCTGGCTTGAACTGGGTTCCTGGATGAGTAGAAGGGATGTTCTGTACTGGAAAGGAGAAGGGAAGAGTTGTGTGGCCAATCTCTTCATTTTGGGTGATAACCATGAAAGATCACAGTTAGTAGCATGAGGTAGGGATCCTGTTGGCTGTGTCCACCTTCCATTATTGCTTAAATTTCAGCTGTGATGACAGACTAGCTGATAAAATACAGGAAGATTTGAGCTTTTTGGAGTTACATCTGGGAAATCTCCAATAACTTCAGTAAGAATCCTCTTTTCCAGACTAAATAGAACATCCTTTTCAGTTAAAGCTGGTGTTTGTTATTCCTTGCATTATGCTATCCATCTTTAAGGAAAATTGCTGCATGTCTGAAATGAAAATTAGCCATCCCCAGATCCCCCAGCTAAAGAGCCACACTGGCACTCTTCTGAGGTAATAACTAGATGTTCTTCTAAGCATTTCCCAGACCTCTCTGCAGTGACACAAACTGCTTTTCAGAGCTCTACTGTCTACATCTGTTGCTAACCTCCTGGTTTTCTCTCTGTTTCATATTCTATTAACTCCTACAAATATTCACTTACAAGCCTCTGCTGTGGCAAATGGGCCTTTCCTGAAGCTGCTCCAAAGAAATGCAGAGGGTTGGTGTGAGTGAAGGACTAGCAGGTTCAACCCCTTCCATACATAAGCTCTGGATAATGCTGGTGGCATAAATCACGTCTGTCATGCTCAATAAGATACATGCCTTGCTGGAGAGTGATGTATGGGCTTCATTTGTGCCTCTCAACCCTGATAGTCTACATCTCACTTTAAACAGTCGCTTTCTCTGTGGTGCAGGACAGATCTTTGAGGACACAGGAGGGGAGTGGACATGTTTCATGTTCCCTTTGCAGGTTTTAGCCTCTCCTTTGTAAGGCTGTAGCTGAGGTTGAACAGCCGGTAGCAGAGAGCACCCATCACAACCAGTGACACCAACCAGGGCTGTAAATACATGCCCTCACTGCAAAGCAGATCTGCCTTGCCTGTGAAAACAAACAATTCTGCTGACCTGTGGGATGCTGCTAGTTTTGATGGTGCCCCACTGGTGGACAAGGTGGGTTAAGTCTATTTTTCATGGAGAGCAAGTAATATGAAGCTAGCCTTCTGAGAAGAAACAAGTCCACAGTCAAAGACGGGGCCCCTTCTGTGTTCTTCAGGCACATCTTCAGTAGGGTGTTATGTTGGCAAGACTTCTCTGATGAACCAGAAGACGGGGGCTGAGCAGTGGTGGAGGACCGGGGGGGACATGGGAAGCCACAGCACCAGTGGGTCTTGCAGGTCTTGCTATTGCAAGAGGGTAAAAGAACACAAACTTCATGTTTGATTAAAGTAAGGATGGGGTGAGAAGTGCCTGTTTGTGAAGTCGATTAGGATGCAGAGCAGTGAGGACAAATATGTTAAATTTGAATCTAATATTAGCACAGGGGGCCTAAAATTAAACACCTAAATTATCAGATGTGCACAACAGTCAAAACTGCTCTTGATTTGAAACCAGAGTGTGGATATTTAGCAGAACTGGAAATCATACCAGAAAGTTCAATCTTCAATATGGATTTGAGTGGCTGAACTTTATATTCACCCATAGAAGTGGTTGGTCTTGGTTCTGGGGAAGTGACAAGCCTTCTGTCTCACTCAGTTGTGTCATCTGCATATGGTGTTCATGGTGCTTGGAAGTGATATGTTGTGAGTCTTTTATTTTCAAAGCAAAAGAGATGAATTTTGATACCTGGGTGTGACCTGGTTGTGCCTTAGGCCTCAGGACTAGTGCTCCCATCATCAGTATTCTCCAGGTTCCTGCTGCTTGGATACCGTGACAAGTTAATGATGAGTTTTATGTATTTCTGTAGACCATTCAGTGTACTTTCAGCATGAGGGGGCTGTTGAACAAGTAGTTGCAGGGTACTTCTGGACAGTGGTTCTGGCTCCAAAATAACATTTCTTTTCTCTTTTAATCTTCTGGCCACTACCTGCTCTGTTTTTGGTTTTTTGGCGGTTTTTTTTTTTTTTTTTTGTTTTGTTTTTTTGTTTGTTTGTTTGCTTTTTTTTTCTTTTTAGACTTAGACATCTTGATGTTGACCAGCTTTTCCTCTAAAGAAGTGTTTTCCATTAGCTTACATGCTGAACCATCTTTCCCTGAAGATAGTGGCTGTCCTCAATACCCAGAAAAGCAGAAGCCAGCTTCCAGTTAGGACATTGTAGACTTGGGAATACGTGTGGGATGAGTAATTTGTTTTTCAGTGATGATCATTATGAAGACGTCAGTGCCCCGTTCAGAGCCAATTGCTGAGTAATTTTTAGGATGGCTTTGGTTAATATTGCATCACTGGATTCCAGATACAAGTCTTGCTTGCTCTATCAATTAATCGCTGACCTTTGTGATGTATTTTGTGTTCTTGAAACAAGGCAGGGACAGTCAGATAAAATGAGTCTTCTGGGAGCCTGCCCTCCAGGTTTTCTATTCTTTAATAATTCCTATGCTGTCCTAGTGGTGGGCAGCACTTCTTCCTTCCCCTTTGGACTCACAGTACATTACCCTTGAATATCATTTGCTTTGCTCTTTACTCTTCTGCCTCACATTACTAATTGCTTATCAGATTGTCCTGGACTCAGGAAGCAGCTCACAGGGTTTTCACATTTCTTAGCACTGTCTGGGACAAAGTACTGACCCTTTTGTGTCCCATAACAATATTCCATGTGCTAAGGCATGTGCTGGATCGTCTGCTCACACCTCTGTCTAGTTCTTACCCTGGTGTTACCTGTGGGAAGGAGATTAACAGCGTTCTCTCTTCTCTTGGGATGACATTCTGCTGGGGTTTTCCATGTCACCTCAGTCTCTCTTTGTACTGTTATTCTCTTGTAGTTCTATACAGCATCCTGGCTTGTGTCAGCACTAGTGTGGCCAGCAGGACTAGGGCAGGGATTGTCCCCCTGGACTCAACACTGGTGAGGCCACATCTCAAATCCTGGGTTCACTTTTGGGCACCTCAATGCAACAAAGATGTCGAGGTGCTGGAGTGTGTCCAGAGGAGGAGAGCTAAGGCAGTGAATGGTCTAGAACACAAGTCTGGTGAGGAGCAGCTGAGGGACCTGGATTTGTTCAGCTTGGAGAAAAGGAGGCTCTCGACAGCTCCCTGACAGGAGGTTGGAGCCACATAGGGGTCAGGCTCTTCTCCCAAGGAACAAGCAACAGGATAAGAGGAAACGGCCTCAAGTTGTGCCAGAGGAGGTACAGGTTGGACATTATGAACAATTTCATCACCAAAAGAGTTGTCAAGGCCTGGTCCAGGCTTCCCAGGACAGTTGTGGGAAATCCCTGGAAATCCCTGGAGGGGTTTCCAGGCTGTGGAGATATGCTGCTAAGGGACATGGGTTAGTGGGGACCTGGTATTGCTGGGTTAATGGTTGGACTTGATGATCTTAAAGGTCTTTTCCAACCTAAATGATTCTGTGGTTCTATGATTCTTGCTTTCTTCTGCTTACCAGCATGTGTCTGTGGCTGCTCTACAGCACAGCAGGGTCCAATGCGCTGGCAAGAACCAAGAAGGACAGGTCACTGCAGCACCCTGAACGGTTACAGCTCAGTCTTTGAAGAGGTGTGAATCCCCAACCCCATGATCTTGTTCTGGACATAAAACCAGTCTCTTCCTGACCCTCCATGTGGAGCTGCTTCTCTTTAACTTTTACGCCAACACTTTGTGGCCCTGGTTACCCTGTTGCCCGTGCTTGTATCCATGTGTCAGGTGCCTCTGCTACGTGCCCTGTGCCTTCCTGAGCTCTGTCTTGCAGCCTAGTATTTCTGCAGGATTCTGGTGTCCAGCCTTCCCCTCACACTGAGTGTCCTTGTTTCCTTTGCTCTGAGCTCCGGCGGGTTGACCTTGGCTGGATGCTGTTCTATCACTCCCCTCTTCAGCAGGGCAGGGGAGGAAAAGAATAAGGTGGAAAAGGTAGGTCAAAATAAGGGCAGGGAGAACACTCACCGGTTACTGTCGCAGGCAAAACAGACATGACTTGGGGAAATTAGATTAATTTATTGCCAATCAAATCTGTGTAGGGTAAGGAGAAATCAAACAAAATCTTAAAACACCTTCCCCCTGCCTCTATTCTCTCCCTGGGGTCAAGTTCACTCCCAGTTTCTCTGTCTGCTCTCCCTGAGTGGTGCAGGGAGGTAGGGAATTGGAGTTGAGGTCAGTTCATCAGACATTGTCTCTGCTGCTTCTTCTCACACTCCTCCCCTGCTCCAGAGTGGGACCTCTCCCTCAGGAGACACTTCTCCAAGAACTTCCCCAGTGTGACTCCTTCCCGTGGGCTGCAGTTGGTCTTGAACTCCTCCAGCATGGGTCCCTTTCAGAAGGTGCAGACTTTCACAGGGAGCAGACTGCTCCAGCATTGGTCCACTGCATGGTCACAAGTCCTGCCAGCAAACCTGCTCCAGTGTGGGTTCCTCTCCATGGGGCCACAGGTCCTGCCAGGAGCCTGCTCCAGTGTGAGGTCTCCACTGGCTTACAGCCTCCTTGGTCCTCTGTGGGCTGCAGATGGATATCTGCTCCACTGTGGATCTCTGTGTGCTGCAGGGTGACAGACTACCTCACCATGGGCTTCACCATGGGCTACAGGGGAATCTCTGCTTTGGTGCCTGCAGCACCTCCTCCCTGTCCTTCTTCAGTGACCTTGGTGTTTGCACAGTTGTTTCTTTCATATCTTCTCAGTCCTCTCTTCCATTTGTTGTTGTGCAGCATTTCTTTCCCCATCTTAAATGCGTTGTCCCAGAGGTGCTACCACCATTGCTGATGGGCTCAGCCTTGCCCAGTGGAGAATCCATCTTGGAGCTTGCTGATGTTGACTCTATCAGACATAGGAGCAGCTTCTAGCAGCTTCTCCTAAAAGCCACCCCTGCAGCCCTGCCGTGACCAAAACCTTGCTATACAAAGCAGATACAAGTGGCTGGATCAACAGGGCTTCCTGGCTTCAGTCTCCAGAGTGTTCTGACCTCTTATTTGTCTCTGTCAGTCTTCATCCTCTTCATCTGAGCACGGGCTCCAGGGAACAGGCATTGTATGACATGATAATATTTTCTGTGCTCTTCTCCTGTCGCACCTTGGTGTTTTGCATGTGATGTCGTTGCACTGTGGTGTTACCTCGTGTATTGTTGGTAGCCCTGACCAGGAATCCTGTGGAGATAACCCAAGAATGACCAGGCAAGAGCAACCTGGAAATACACTTGAAGCATGGTGGATGCTCCTGCTCCTGATCTGAATGGTTAATAACACTGCAGTTTTATCATAGGGTGGACTGGGAGTATGGGGGTGTCAGTGCAAGGAGGAAGACTGTGTGACTGTTGAATAAGTTCTGGGCTGTGAGAGGACAGAAGATGGGCTGGGCCACCTCTGGGTCTTGGAAGTTGCAGTTTAGTGGCTGGCCATATGACAGGCACCTGGGTTTTCCAAATAAACAGAAAATAGCTCTGCATACAAGCTGCCATCCTTTTGGAATGAAAGGTCCTCTTTGGTGTGAGGGTGGGAAAGCTTGTGTACTTTCTGTTCCTGTCATGTCTGTAGAAAGAGAAGAGCTCTTCATGCCTTTGTTCCTAGTGGTGTTCTGCTAGGAGCAGTTCCACGGGCCATTGATGGGAGCATGTTTAAGGTTTCTGCTGTGCCTGTGCACCAAAAGGTGGTGGCATGAGGTTCTCTCTGCTCACCCCTGTCTTATCAAGCATTTTTATGTCTGACACTGGGATGTGTGGGAAGGGAGGAGGAATGGATGTTACAGGCTGGTTTTGCTGTGGACGTGAATCTAGCATTGAGAGAAACTTGTTTGCTGTGCTCAGGGAGTGAAACTGGGCGAGTAAAGTTCATACATGTCCATTCCCTGTGCCACCCCCAGGACATCACTACAGCTGGTGAGTTTGGTCATTTGGGTGTAGCTCCTGCTTCTCCATTTCCACTGCACAAACACCATGAAATTGTCCCTGCTCAGTTGCATTTGAGCTTTAGCCTCACTGGGCAAACACGGTTGTTTCCTCTCATGTTCCACAATCCTGCTGTAGGGAGGCTGGAGGTCACAGTGTGTGCCCTAGATGTGACGTGGCTTATTGGCAGAGGGTCCAGCAGATCCTTGGGGTGCACCTCACAGCTCCAACTTGCGTTATCTCCACTGGGAATTGAACGTGTGACGTGAGCTCAGCTGGGCAGGGGCCTTCACAGCAACATACATTTCTGGGCTGCCAAGTATTTCCTTCAGGCAAAGCCCTGACTGAATTTCCTTCTCTCTTAACTCCTGCTGTAGCACACCATTTGCCCTTCCCTTGCTGTGTGTGCTTGGCCAAAACTGAGTTGGATCAGGGCATTTTCTGTTCTCCCAGGCTGTGCTGGAGCCGAATTTCCATCTGCTCATTTTGTATCCCTGTTGAGTGCTAGTGGGTTTTCATCCTTTTTTTTTTTTTTTTTTTTTTTAAACCTTTGTCAAAATGAACTCATTTGTGGTTTTGTAAACCCCTAAAGCTCCCACTGCTGTAAGCATCCAGCGCATGATTACTGATTTTTGGGCAGAAGGTCACAAGCCATATCTGCCATTCAGCGAAGCCTCCCACTTCAATTTCCTGTAGTCCCTGAAGGCATGGAGCTGAACAAGGGGCTGCTGCTGAGTTTGCTGATGGAAGGGATTACGTGCTCCCGTGAGCCCAGAGCCCTTTGGATTTACAGTCGTGTCTTTGTCCTGGTGCAAACAGCATCGTAGTGGCAGACAGCAGGAGGGGCCGAGGGAGGGGGCACACAGAGAGTCTCCTAAGAAACTGCTCTCCGCTTGAAGCTGATGCTGAATGCCGCTAGCTTCCTTTTGTAAGATTGAAAATTAGGCTCTCTCTTCTGGTATAAAAATGGAATTATCAACAAAAGCAACTGTCTGACTTCCCTTCTAGTCAGTGTTTTATGCAGGTGCAGATGTACCTCAGGAGCTCTGAGCAACCCTTTATGAGCCTGATGGCAGGACAGGGAAAAACTCTGTGGTCTGCACAGAGCCTGTGTAAATTCACTGAAACAGATACTTTTACAAAGAAACTTTCTGTCTTCAAGGGAGAGGCAGTGCGAGCTCTCCCACCATGCAAAAGCTTCAGCCTGTTGCAGGAGAGGGCTCCTACCTTGTTGGGTGTGGGCAGCTCCTTGGGGGAGCAGTGTGTGAGGAGGTGCCACCACTGCCACGTCTCTTGGCTACTGGCTGAACAGGAGATCCCTTCTCGAGCTCATTGGACCTCACATTTTAAAGCCACTTGAGCCTCGGACCTCTAACGAGGGCTGTACCTGTCAGCAGATCCAAATCAGGATCTTTCTGGTATGATAAAATGTTCTTCCCACCACAAGTCCATAGGACCTGCAGGTTGTGAGGGAGCCTCAGGGTTAGTGCCTCTGCCTGGTTTGTGTGGGCAGGGGCCGGGGTTGCTGAGGGGCAAGGTGTGTCTGGATGAGCAGGAGGCTTGGGGAACGCTGCTGCCTGGGGCACAGGGCCTCCTCAAAACCTGCCCGTGGCAAGCTCCACGTGCTCTCTTCTGCCTATGTGAGGTGACATCACATCTCACATTCAGAGCTGGAGGTATTTGGCTTTAGAATGAGAGAAGCTTCCTGCAAATGCCTGGTCCATGGTCAGGCTACTGGGCTGCACAACAATAATCTCAAGAATACCTAAAATGAAAGTTTTTACCCGCCTCCCACTTAACCCTGCTCAAAGCAACGTTCATGTGGCCCTGGCACCTCTGTCCAGTTTCCAAGCAGAGGCAGTGAGCAGGGGTGGGACAACCTCCCTAGCAGCTCCTCCTGCTGGTTCTGGTTTCTCCTGTGTCGTGTTCCTCGCCGCTAGCAGGCTGCTCCAGAGTGTGGACCATATGCATGGGCTCTCCAGCAGTGACCCAGGTGAAGGACAGCAGCGGTATCCTGCTGCCAGCTCGAAATGCTGCTTTTCTGTGCTGCCAGGGCATTGCTTGCTTCACACACAGGCCCTCCACACTTTTCGGTACTGGTCAGCCCCACTCGAGTGTGAGCCCGTGCTTCTGGGCAGGGAGTGGAGCAGGTTGGTGGGTGCTGGTGCTCCCACACGTGTGTCTTCCCCCCAGGTGGATGAGCTGAAGGCCAAGCTGGCAGCCCAGGAAGTGGAGCTGAAGCAGAAGAATGATGATGCTGACAAGCTGATCCGGGTGGTGGGGGTGGAGACGGAGAAAGTGAGCAGGGAAAAGGCCATCGCTGACGAGGAGGAGCAGAAAGTGGCACTTATTACCCAGGAGGTTGAGCGGAAGCAGAAGGACTGCGAGGAGGACCTGGCCAAAGCTGAGCCTGCTCTGGCAGCTGCCCAGGAAGCTCTGAACACCCTCAACAAGGTAGGATGAAGATTCCCATGGGAATCCAGTATCTTCCCTCTGCATTGGAGGGGAGGCAGTGTCATCTGATGGCCCAAGTTCTGGGGCATTGTTTTAATTGTCCTCCAGCTTCTTCCCAAATGGTGCATACTTGGTCCCTGGTGTAAACAGGAGCAGCCATGAAGCAGCACCAAGTAACCTGTTAATCACGGCCATGGAGGGCTGGAGGAACTGGAACTGGGTGCTTTGTTTGCACCTCTTCTCCAGTGTTGATTGGCTGCACTGCTTCTCATTCTGCCCTGCAAGGAAGGGGGAGTCACCTTATTGTCACTCTCCTTCAGGACCCCAGGAAGTGTGTCTCAGAGGGGTCACCAGTTCTGTATTTCTGTCTGGCTGTCTTGGGCACTCTCACTGGCTCAGACCCATCATCTAGCATGGAGGAGGACATGCGGGATGGAGGGCTGGGCTCCAGGACAGGGGCACAGGCCAGATCTTACTCCAGACTCTTCTGGGGCTGTTACCCCTGAGCTGTGGGGAGTGCAGCTGTAGGAGGGGACACAGGAGAGGCTGCTGGTGCTCTCGGAGTGACTGATTTCCAGCTGTTCTGAGGGCCCTGGGGCAAGGAGCACTGAGCCCTTGGCTGGTGACAGCAGAAATGCAGGAGGTGTTGCAGGAGAGCTGGGGTGAGCCCCAAGCACCCTTTCATTGCAGAGAGGACAGGGATGCTGTTTGGTGGGGTACTGCTGTGCAGGCTCACAACCAGCACTGTGGGAGCTGAGAACATTCCAGAACACCAGCAATGCAGATTTTGCACCCGGCTGCTCTGCGAGCCTTTCTCCTCAGCGGCATGGCTGGTGTCGGGAACACTGCACAGGCAGAGCTCATGTGAGCCCCACAGACTGGCGGTGCTGGCTGTGGGGCTGGCAGCTTGTGGCTGCAGCTGGCAGTGAGTGTGGATGTCCTCTGAGTTCCCACTTGACCCATCTCCTGCTTTGGAAAGGGATCTGCAATGGGAAGGCTCATGGCCCCCCGCTGAGTTTGCACCACAGTGGGGCAAGTGTCTTCCTGTAGCCTATGGAAAATGACTTATTTGGTCAAGGGGGAGGACAAGGTGCAGGAAGAAAGTTCAGAGATCCAGAGGTCCAGTGAGGAGAGCTGCTAAGTTCTTGGGCTCCTCTGGGCATCTTTTCCTCTTGAGTTCCCTACTGTTGTAGGGACAAAACACGATGACCTGAGGGTTTGGACTGAACTTCTCCAGCTATACTGGGGTGAGGTTTGCCTTGTCTTCTCTGCCCAAGATGTTCCTTAGGCCTTGTTGAGTGTGATGCTCAATGTTTGATACACAGAGCTTGGCTCCACAGCTGCACTCACGGGGTGGCTTTTGATTTGAGACAGTAAATGCTGGCACAAAAGTCTCATTCCATGTTTGGGTTTATACAGTACTGGGGCTTCTTGAGTCTGGAGAGGACCTGTTCTTCAGCAGTGTCTTTGGGCTGAGCAGGACACTGTTGTGGGTGATGGGTAGCTGGATACTGAGTGTGTGGTGGCCTCTTGGTAGAGCCATACTTTGCCACAGACCAGGGGACTCTGAAGGAACTGGGGAAATAACCAGGAGATAAGGAGTGCTCTGACTGCAGGAGACTGATTGGCTTAGGGAAGGTTTTTGGTACCTTGGAAAATTTTTCCTCTAAGGGTGCTCCAGGAGTTCCTGTTTGGATCCCAGCACTTTGAGATGTGCCCTGGAGACACACACCTACAACTGATCTTGGTCTGCAATTCACACAGCGTCCTGGAACAGCAAACTCCTGCTGCACCCAGGGCAGAGCAGTGGCCACTCACTAGAGGCAGCCAGAAAATTGGAGTTATTCCCATGTTCACAGCAAAACATGGCTCAGTCATGGCTCCGACTGTCCATGAAATCATGGGTCAGGCATGCCTTAAACTGTAGCTCAAACTATGCCTCAAAACATGGTTCAGTCATAACTCAAACCATAAGTCAAAGCAAGGCTCTGTCATGTCTCACACCATAGTTCAGTCATGTCACAGCCCCACTGGGGGAGAGGAAAGCAACTCCAGGTCATCAGGAATGGGTTTTCTGATGGCTTACCTTTCAGGAAACGTGGCTCTGCTGCAGAGGTGTGTTGCTTTGTCCTTTGTTCCTGAAACAGAAAGGACTGTACAAAAGGGAAATATTCCTCTCTTCATTTGGTATTTTACTAGAGCTGCAGAATGTCTCATTAGGCAAAGGCTGGGGAGATGTTGGGATTTTCTCTAGGGACATGTAAAGCAGCAGTAGCAGAGCACTGGAAGCATGGTCTCCCTTTCCTTTTGATCAGTGATGCATCAGAGAGCTTGACCTGCTAGCTGACATGAATAATCAGCAATATTTATGTGTGTTCATATAGTTTCTCCCCAGTTATCTGGGTTGTGTTATTAGGACAGCACTGTTATATGCAACATTAATAAGGAAAACAGTGAGACAAGCTGTTGAGTAGAATGCAGTGACAAATATGGATCATCAGCTACTGAGGCGCTCAGTAATAGGAGGCTGCATGGACATTTCTGGGCTGGTGTCACCTGCTAGTTTGAAGGAAGGGCAGGTTTACAGGGCATGAACCCACGGGATCAACCTTTACAAGCAGGTCAGAGATCCTGCATGATATTTGGAGCTGGAGGAGAAGAGGAGACCAGTGCTGAGGAGCACAAGCAGAGCAATGGAAGTTCTGAGTAGCAGGGGCATGTGATTCTTTGGTACGCAAATTATTCCAGCAAAACCAAAACTATTTCACCTGGTCAGTGTGTGAGAAGGTGAAAGGGGCCATGGTGTGTGTGTTACCTTCTCACCAGACACAACTGAAGCCCAACTTGGTTTCTGCTGCTTTTTTTTTTTTTTTGGTGGGAGGATTATCTTCCTGGTGCTTTAAGTAGTCTCTTTGGTGCCTTCAAAACCATCCATAGCCATGCTTCTCTCTGCAAGGGTGGCCCAGCTCAGCCAGACCTCAGCAGAACTCAGCTCTCTGTATGTTCCTCACAACTTGAACTTTCATAGAATAGAATCGTAGAATCATGTGTGAATCCAGGGTGTACCCAGCGATTAGCTGATGCTGGTGGGGGGATTCTCATGCCCGGTCACCTCAGTGACTGCTCTCCTGCTCAAGGCG